GGCGAGCGCTGCCCCAGGCCGTCGCCGCGGAGGAGGCGCGAGGAGAGGAGCGGGGCCGAGGGACGGGCTGGGGCTCCGGCTCGGGGGGGTGTTGGGGAAAAGCGGGCCGGGATCTCGGGTGGGAAGGGGGAAGGATGATCAGGGGCCTGGAACATCTGCCCTATGAGGAGAGGCTGAGGGAGCTGGGCCTGTTCAGCTGGAGAAGAGAAGGCTGAGAGGGGACCTGAGCAGTGTCTAGAAGTACCTCAAGGGAGGCAGTGAGGAGGATGGGCCGGCCTCTTTTCAGTGGTGGCCACTGACAGAACTAGAGGTAATGGCCGGAAACTGAAACACCAAAAATTCCTTAGGAACTTAAGGAAAAATTTCTTCCCAGTGAGGGTGCCAGAGCGCTGGAACAGGCTGCCCAGAGAGGTTGTGGAGTCTCCTTCTCTGGAGATCTTCAAACCCGCTTGGACGCAGCCCTGTGCCACGTGCTCTAGGTGACCCTGCGTGTGCAGGGGGTTGGACTAGATGACCTCTAGAGGTCCCTTCAACCTTGAGCATTCTGTGGTTCTATGATTCTATGAAGGAGCTGCCTCTTGTGTGTGGGGGGCTCGGTGGAGGCTCCGGATGTTCCATGCGAGTGGAGGAGCCTTTTCCCTCCCTGCTTGGATGGGCAGGTTTGTAGAGCAGATCCCGAGGGATGCCGTTTGGCAGGAAGGGAGTCGGTGATGTGGCTGCGGAGCTGGGATTAGCTCCCCAGCATCCTCATCCTCTTGGCGGCTCCTCAGTTGGGATGTCCTGTGGTTCCATCCTCGGGTGCGAGCTCGGCCTCCTCTTCGGAGCTTCTCCATGAAGGCCGATGTCCCCTAGCCCTGCTTTGTCACCAAGGCGCCTCCCGAGCTGGACGGGTCCCGTCCTGGCGCTGCCGATGAACAGGCCCTTCCATGGGCAATAAGGAATCCACAGTCAGTAGCCCGGAGTCTTCTGACCCCACCAGAGCCGAGATGTCTGTTCCAGGCCCTGCTAATTATTTTGAAGGGATTTTGAACAAATAAATAGCCTGAGCAGTTCTGCAGCTCCCTGTGTAATTTTAGCTCTGGACCCCTCCAAGAATGTACAGAATAAATAGGTGAATCTGTAACACATCCACAATTAACTCTATATACAGCAAGCAGCTCCAAGGCATGCTATGTAGGAACAGAGTCAATAAACAGGTACTCTGTGGGCCGTGGAAATGTGGTCTTTATTACTGGAGGAGGGGAGCTCTGACCAAGGGTGCAGGCTGGAAAAGCAAACAGTGCCGCTACAGATCTCCGTGCCCCCACCCAACGTGCTGGAATTCCAAAACTGCCATGGAAATGTACCCCCAGTGAAACGTGTGGCCTCGCTGAACGTCACGGGAAGGTCCCCACTGCGCCGGGGACTTCGCAAGTGCAGCAAGGGCGAGGAGAATCCCGCGGGATGTTTCCGAACGCGGAGGGAGGCGTAAAACTGCACGGCAGAACGTTCGCCCAGGCCCCTCTCCCCTTGCAGCCGCATGTGCAGCCGGCGCTCCGCGAGAAACCCAATGCCCAGACGTGAATCATTTCTCCAATTTTTCATGCTTTTAACTTTTCATTGCTGAGGCTTCGCTCAGCCAGGAGGAGGGACCTGTTTCAGCTTTGAAAAGTCTTAGACGCGAGGAAGGCTGGGGAAAGGAGTTAAAAATGAAACAGCAGATTTATATATATAAAAAGTAAAAATATATGTTCTACATCTGAAGTTTATTTAGGTCCTTTGGGAGAGTGGCGCGGCACTACGTCTCTACTAAATTGCCAACATTTTATGGTCGTGCTGGCACCGAGTCAAACACACATCTCCTTGGCTTGGGTTGCTGTCTTAAAGCAGGCAGATTCCAGTATGTTTTTCTATGAACTGAATATTACTATTGAGCGGACAAGGGAAGCTCTGCCCGGCAAGAAATATAGGTGACTTTTCATTTTGATAGATCTATCAAGACTTAATTGTTTTGATGTTGCATTGCTGAAGAGGTGACCACCTAGACGTTACAGCTCCGTGTGTTTTAAGACAGATGCAACTTTTTTTTTTTTTTTTGATTGGAACTACATTAATAACGGGAAGGTTTCAAAGGGGCTATTTTTAACTGGATTAGCTGTTGTATACAAAAGCATGTGAGGAGCATGCACACTGCAACTTGTGTGCATGCATAAAAATGCATGTGTGAATGTTGATGCTTGCATGCAACTGCAGCAGAGGTTTACATAGGATAACTGCTCAGAATCATAGCCTCTCTCTCTCTCTATATATATATATGTACACGCACATATATTTATATATATCTTCATGCAAAATCTGTGTTGCTCATCAGCCAGGCAAGCTGCACCCTTAATGTGCCCACCACCGAGCCCCACAAGCGAGGGACGCAGGGCCTCGACGTCCTCCCCTGCTTCACAAAGAAGGGTATTTTGCAAAAGTCGGTGTCTGTGAAACCCCCCGAGAGGCTTCATCGACGATGCGGATCCTCCCACGTGCCGGCAGCGGGAGAAGGGACCCGACTGTCAACTCCCTGCCCTCCTTCCCGGGCCACAGGAGCTCGGGTTTTGGCAAGCAGGACTTTGATGTACAGATGCTGCATGAGGAAGGTCAAGATCTGAAGGGCGGTAGCCTGGCTGAGAAGCAGCCTCTGAATCCCATTGATTCAATAATCCTCTGCAGTGGAGAAACTCTTATTTTTTTTGGTCCGAAGCACTAGAGAATTCAGTGCTTTCCTTTGAAGCTGAGCTGGCACCTCGGTGCGTCAGGACGCTGCGCTCTGTGCTCGTCGGGACGGTGTAGCCACATGCAGGAGAGCATTTAATAATAATTCTCAGCGTGGTTTTCCATTTGCCTTGACAGGGCACTGCTGCTCTTCACACCTTCCTGTTTGTGCCAAGGACGGCCTCTCCTCTGACTGCTGGAGCCTCCGGGTGCCCACACACTGTTAATAAAGTGTCCGTTAGGCCAAGATAATCCCATTTATTTTGATTGAATACTTGGTTCTCATCATTTATTCCTGGGGCGTTTTTCAAGATTTTTCCCATGGTTATCTGCACTCTGGTTTGGGACCGTGGTTCAGGAGGTACTTTTCAAAGTAAAAATGAATTGCAGCATCCTGAGTGTCCAAGAATATTTTGTGCTTGCATTGATTTTCATGGAGCCAAAAGTTGGAGCTGTGGAGATGCCCAACGGGGACGCCCGAGGACACAAGCCACCTGCATGGGGACGGAAAGGTAAAATCCACCAGGGCAAAGGACAAAACGACCTTGAGATGCCTCCCAGCTCCTCCTCATCCAAGAGGACAGAGTTTTCCCTACGCTCCATCTTTATTCCCAAAGCCCCGCGTGCTGAAGGGACAACCCGGTGGGTTGCTCAAGGATAAGGCAGGGTTTGTTTCCACGCGCACAGGCAGGAGAACCGGGAGGTTTTCCTAGCCCGGGATGGGGTATCTAAGGCGGGATTAAAGACTTCATTGGAGTTTGTGTAACGTGGGCCATGCCCATAAGGAAAAAGGACTTGAGGAGAGAGCGGGGGCATTTACAGTCCCAGAGAAGAGCCCTTGCTCTGGTGTATAATAGCCTTCTGTTGGGTTTTAGTAGCATATAGTTTAGTAAATTAGGAGAATTCAGGTACTTAGCACTTTAATGGTTCTCACTAAGAACATAATTAAACCATCGACCCCTTAGGGAGAAAAAACAGTTTATTGTGCATATTTTTAGAATCTGTTACCAGCCCTCATAAAACCTGCTAGATACAAGCCAGAGAACACGCTGAGCTGGCCGCGGCGACTCCATTTATCAGTGCGGGCAGCCCCGACCGAATCTCGCCCCGAACTCACACGTTACAAATCTGTCCCGTGAATTATGGAATTAATTTTCCCCAATCTCATTTCAAAACACATTTGCAGGGCAGTTTCTCCCCGGCTGCTGGAGGTGTGAGGGAGGCAGGAGGTTTATTATATTGCGCCCGAGCTGACGCAGAAGGCCCGGTTTTACTGTTCTTTTATTGATTTTCCCTTATCGGCCGTGTTTCTCGCCGTGTGTCAGAGCGAGCGCCAAGGGGCCCCGCGTTACCGTGGCGTCCGCGGCGGTGGCGGGAAATGAGCCCTGTCAGCCATCTTGTCTTGCCGCTACCACCTTGGTAATGTCAGTGCCGAGACGTGAAGGATGGAAACGCGAAGGATGGAAACGCCACCGTATCAGGGAGCGCATTATTAACCCGCCTTGGATTTCTTAACTGCTTTGCTGCTTTTTTGCCCCGTTTCCCCTTCAGCGGAAGTGTTGGGCCCTGCTAGTGAGGCTGCACGCAAGGCTTTAGTTAGACTGCTGAGGTAAATTGTTGCCTCCTTTTTGTTCAAACTGCAGCATTTCTATGTGTTGTCGTCATTAAGGTATCAGGATTTGTAGAATCTCTCTTTGTAGAATATTGTACTGGGTGGAAGGTTTCCCAGTCAAAAAAAATCAGGCCGATAGAAGAAAAATATTGTCCCCAGGCCAGCATGCAAATATCTTAAACCAATATAGTATGTTTAGAGGAATTATACTTTCCTCTCCTGAATTATGATTTTGGAAAGCAACGCCACCACCACATTTATTTCAAATTTAAACATTCGGAAAGCGGATCTCCTCGGCGCGCAAGTCTGGTTTCCATTCGTGGCTCCGCGCGACCCGCTGCCTGACCCTGGGAAAGGCTTTGCCTCGGCTCCGCTATCCCAGAGCTGCTCGGATGGGCTCAGCACTTCCGAGGAATGATTTAGCGTGGCTCGGTGTTGAGCAACGCTTCGGAATTACCTAGCAGTGGGTTTCCTTGCAGCTGGATGGGTTTTTGGGGTTATAATGGAAAACACAGGAGAAAGTTAAAACTCTCATTTTTTAAAAGATGCTTTGATTTAAAACTGTCTTTGTTTTTCATGGGAAAAAAAGTTGAAGGGGCTGGAAAAGGGGCTGAGCTCCAGGTGACAGCTCTTCTCCTTCCTCTTGCAGACCCAGCCGGTGCCCAACCCTATAGCCTACTTTATGCATCGCTCCCCGTGGTGGTTTCACCGCTTTGAGACGTTGTTCAACCACTTCATCGAGCTGGTGGTGCCCTTCTTCGTCTTCCTCGGGCGGCGCATGTGCATCGTACACGGCGTCCTGCAGATCCTCTTCCAGGTGAGGCGCTCCTGGCTTTGCTTTCTCGGGGTCACACTTTTGCCCAGGAAATCCTAGGGGTTCGGACGGCCTAAGGCCTCTCCTGTGGTGCAGGTGGATGCTGACATGTTGGCTCAGGGACCAGGGCAAAGAGTCTGATTCTGAGACAGCCCCGACTTGGACTGAAGGTTGGGGAGAGCCTGAAGGAATATTTACAAGTTCTCCACAAGTATTTTCTTTTTCAGACAGCATATTTCACTCTTTGGAGGGAATTAGATATTTAATGTTTTCTCTGAAAACGTTTGCATTCTGATTTTCATGAGCGCCAGGTTTGCAAAGGTTCATAGTGAAAATCCTTGATTCACGAAGCGATAACATTTGTGTTCCAGTTGTTGAGTTTTTTCTTTACATTAAATAAGTGAATTTGTGCAAACGGCAGAGAGCAGGAGACCCTGAGCGCGTCCTTCCCTGTTCCCGTCGTTGTCCCCTGCCCAGGACACTGCAGGCAGCCCGGCCTGCAGACGCGCAGCCTCCAGCTGGGGCTTCCTGCTGCGTTTCTTGAGCGTCGCTGCAGCATCATGAAATCCATACAGTGGAGCCGTTGCTGCTTCCTGTAAATACGTGCCATGATTAAACTGGAGAACAGCTTATAAACTGTATTGGTAAACCACAAAAATGCTGATCAGATTTTAAAGGGCTGACATAAAAAGCCGAGGGATTTGTGTGTTCGCACAGAGGCGGCTGCTGCCCTCCCTGAGTCTGAAACACGTCCTGCCGTGTCCGGCTGCTGCAGGACCTGGGACCTCTGCTCCTTTGGTGACAGGGAGCTTCTCTGTTGAGCTGGAGGTCCCTGCTCAGGAGCAGAGCGAGGGCGTCAAGGACATCTCGGCTCCTGACTCCATCTAGGATTAATAGGACAGCTCTGCTCTGTCTGGGATTAATAGGACAGCTTTGCTCGTGGTGGCCGTGCAGGAGGAGGAGGTTCAGAGAACCTGCCTGCTCTTCCGTGGGCAAGGAAAATATCGCTGAGCACGGGGACGGATGGAAATCAGCTTAGTGGAAACAGCAGGGACGTGGGTAGTAACTGCTGGGTTTTAGGGCAAATAAACCAAGAAAGGACCATGGCGAAGGGCTTCGGAAAACGAAGCAGCCCTGTCCCATTCCCATCCCCGAGCTGGAGAACTTCAGAGGCTGCGATGGAGCCAGGGCGATCTGAGCAAGCAAACTGCATACAATAAAGGCCCACAGTGACATATTGTAAATGCATGCATCTAACCGCCCTTTAATTGGTGCTTTATTGATAGTTTGCAATTACTGACTTGTTTCTATCATGAGGGGAGTCTGCAAAAGGAGAAAGGGTCCCAGTGTAACGTGCGGCTCTGGTGCATTTATAGCATTTCAACAAAAACCTGTTTATTTAATATTTACTGCCCTTTTCTTCATTCAGAATGACTTTTATTGACAATACCTCTGCTCTGCAAAGGAAGCAATAAAGTTTAATGTTGATATACCACTTAATTCTGCTTTTCAAGATTTGAATTGACATTACATGCAAGTTTTATTGGACATTTTATAATTGTTATTGGAGTCATGGTGGCTAGCTTGAGTAAGTGTATTTTTCCAGATTCCAACTGGCCTGGAGAATATTGCTTTGTCAGGAGCCCAGA